CCGCGCCTCCTCCCCCCCACGCCCCCCTTACCTGCTTCAGGCTTCCCGCGAATCAAATATTCGAGGGAAGCAGGGGAGGGGGCGGAGACTTTGGGGAGGGGGCGGGGTTGGGCGGGGCGGGGCCGGGGGCCGTGGAGTGTCCTCCATTTGGAGGCACAAAATATGGTAACCCTAGGATTGGGCTCTGAATGTTTCCATCCTTTGGCAGTGTTTCACTCTGGCCTATTATAGTGCTAGAGCTGCAAATGGGAGTGCTTGGGTTCAGGATTTGTTTATTTAATCTATATATACAGGGCCAAATCCTGGTCCCCTGTTCCACCAGCCATTCCAATGACAGTGCAAAGCTTAAATAAACAGATTTAACCAGCTGGCTGGAATTCTCCTAAAGCAAGGGAATTCCCAGGTAGTGAAGAGCCAACTATGTGGCTCTGCACCACCACCCTGGCCTTGGTGTTGGGGTTGTGGCTGGAATGCTGCTGTACTCTGGTGATCTGATCAGTGGATGGTCCCTTTGGGGCTACTGAAATTTTAAGCAGGTGGTTGGTAGGGCAACAACTATAAATTGTGCCAGGGCAGAAGCAGCCCCTGGATTGGGGAGAAGTAGATAGCATACCAGCACCTTTTAATCCCCGCTTCTCAGCTGCATGGAGCAGAACTCAGCCTCCGGCACAGACCCCTGAAGATTCACCCCTCAGTATGTTCATTCTTTTCTGTTATTCTTTGGCACTTTCAGCTTTATTTTTGAAAACTTCCATGTTCACCTTGAAACAAATAATTCCTACTGCAAAATCAAAACATAGACAAATCTTTCCTGTTCCTGCTCAGAGAACCTTTAAAACTTACAAGCTTCAGTCTCTCTTTTGCATTAAATTGCAGCCCCACCTCCCAAAATCAAACAAAACCAACCAAACATGCAGCACACAAATAAAAATAAACAAGAGGTGTTTTTATGGTAGAAGTGAACAGTTTAGGAAATGGTTTTCCTTTCTTGGCAGCTTCAAGTCCTTCAAACTTGACAGAATTCAAACTTGAATCAAAGTTTAAAAAGGCAGGGGACAGTATTCTCTCTGCTCAGAGGATTTAGCAGGAAAGTGAGGGGAAATGTCTGAGCTACAGGAAAGAAAAGGCTAGAGAGAGACCAGTGGGAGGAATATCATGGGACTAGCTGTAGTGTAACGTCCTACAGTATGTTTCCTTTTCTTCTCCATCTCGTATTTCTTCACGGGATCAGTCCCCCAGCATTGCAGGCCCTCCCAGGAGTACAGTGCCCCTTCCATGTATTGTGCAAGTGGCACTGAGAGTACAGCACATTCAAAAAAAAAAAAGGAAAAAAAAAGTCTCCCTCAATGCCATCATCATTTTTAAAAAAGGCAATTGATGTTGCCTGAAGCAGTGGCTATGAAGCCCAATTATAGCACATTTCATTCAAGTGTCAAAAATTGGAATAATAATAGCCAACCATGAGGAGCACATATGTGAAATGATGATGCCATCTTCTTTTGTTTTGGCCAAGCATTTTCATAAATTCATCCTTAGAGCAGACTCTCTGCCCTATTCCTTCAAGGACTTTCTTCTTTGCTATAATTTTCAGTTCTTAACAATTGGTTTTTCTACTATTCTAGCGTTGACAATTGCTCACAGAGGTTCCCTATGCTCTCACAACTGGGTAGTCAATCGTTTGTGAATTAGCTACCAAATCAGATGTCAGAAAGATACTGGTAGCATTTATTTGTTGATAATATTTTAAGTGAGTTTATTGCTTGGGAAATGTGTAGGATTACACTCACCACTAAATTTATTCACAGAATAGAGACGGCATAGACTGAAGCAGAGCAATAAGTCCTGGTCCTTGGTTTTCTTTGGCCCTATGATGTCTGGGACACTCAGGCAGACTTCAGTAACCTGCCCATTTTGAAGTGGGATGTTTGGGACAGGGACTCGGGACAGGATGCGTTAAGAGAGACAGTTATGAATAGTGGATCAGCACTGGGGGTTGGGAAGTTGAGGTACTTACAAAAGGCTTGTTGGGGTTCGTTTCTCCTTGCAAACAAAGATGAGGATCCTGGAACACAGGGGTCACATGCATAGAGCAATCCTGGACAGTAAGCTTCTCTGTGTTATTTCATCAATGTTCCTCAACCCTGAATTAAATGGCTGGTGGCTTTTATAACTCTTGACCCACAGGAACTGGATTGGAACCTCTAACTAACTCCATACAGGCCTTCTAACATTTATTTATAATTAACCAAGGTGGATATTTCACCATGGTCACACTGTGGGGCTAGCTGAACAGTTCTAAAGGAAATCAGAACCTACTTGAACCAGCCCTCTTTCAACATGTCAATTCAAACTTCAACACTGTGAGTTTGGTTTGGCGGTCAACATTTTATATGTTAGTATTGCAATGCAAAAGACCTGTACTCCAAGGCCCCAGCCACGCATGGCAGGGAGAATGAGTGTGCTAGATATTTTTTCATGCCTTCAGAACATTGTCTTCAAATTATGCCCTGGGAAAGGTTAAGCCTTGAGTAAGGTTGCACAGGTGTAACTGATTGGCCCCATTACCGAAACTCCGAAAACCTAGTTGAGGGCAATGCACAAGAAGGAGTAGAAGCCATCTGTTTACAGTTTATTACATCTGCTGTCTTTTAGCTGTATTTGCTATTCAGTATTACCAGAAGTTAAAGTATTAACCACTTATTTTAATCACTAAAGTATGCAGATGTGACTCCCAGGGAACTAGTAAGAAGATGCCAATTTTATATAGACACTTTACAGAGCAGAACCACATTTCAAGCAACACCTTCCAACAAGAGATGCAGTACATGTTTATCCAATGTCAGTTATTCAGGTAGAATAACAAAATGCTGTTTTATTGGCAACTATACATTCATGCATATTAGGCCAATGGCAATTTTCCTAAGGTTTTCCCTGTCTCAGGATCCATGATCGGAAATATTTAAAACACCAAAGGCAAACATTCAGTGTTAGGGACAGTAATGTGAAAAATGAAAGTGGCTCTAGCTGGATTGTACATTAAATAAAAGGCAGAGAATGAGAGCTGAGTGAATTTTTATATGTTACATTACTACAAACCAGTCAAAGATTCTGACCCCTGGCATCAGAGAAATGATGCAGTCATCTTCCCAGTTTTGATACTTTCAATAAAATCATTCCCAAGAGGGCTGGAAAAAATCTCTCTCTCTTTCTCTCTGTCTCTCTCTCAATAAAATGAGAAGCCATCTGTATTATGAGAAAGCATACTAATAATTTGATAGTGTTCTGAAGTAGCTTTTATAAAGCTTTTGCTTGGGATTTAATATTGCCCAGCAAGTCCATCAGATTTCCATGGCTTTGTTGGAAAAAGAAAAGTACAGCACTGATTTGAGCTCCTGCCTGCTGCAGGTCAACAACTCACATATCAACAGAGATAACTTTGAAGATAATGTGTTCAAATCTTCTAAAGCCAACCTACCCCATAATGAAGAGGCATCAGGACAGCTTCTAATTTTAATAACATAGCAGGGCTGGGTCCCATCTGTGCCCAAGTAATAATCCACTAAATATTAAATGTATTTCTTATAGTGAAACAACTACCAAACAACTCTGATCTTTGGCCACGGTTTGCAGAAGGACTTCTGAGTTGTTGGAGATCTTTGCAGAACTGAACATGTTTCCACTGAGCTCTTTCTGAAACAATATTTGAACATAGCACAAGATTCCCTATCCCCCGCCCACCACCTTTTTTTATAAAAAAGCCAAAACAGTAGAACAGCAGTCTGCAGTAATGAATACATGCATGCAGTCAAAATAATTAATGTCAGCTTACAAGGTCTTCTGGAAAAATATCATCAGAGGGAATCCACATATGGCTCCTCTTCTACACCTCGTGGAAGGAAAATACTACAGAAAATCTCAGGTTGAGAGATGGGAAGGATAAAAATAGGTA